TGCTCACCCTCCAAGGCTTCCAGTTGTATTTGTGCAAAATTCAAACTCCTTGCCCTGGTCTAAAACGCCCCCCACCAGGGGGCCGTGCCTGCTCTTGTGGCCCCAGGGCCTGCACTCTCCCCTCCTCCGTTGGGATCCAAGGCGGTGGCCTTCGCATCAGCTCCTCGCCGCTCCCAGCTCCTGGCCACCGCACGTCCTTTGCACGCGCTGTTCTCTGCCGGGAGCCGGCTTTCCTGGACCAGTGTTTTTCAGCCCTTGTTACACATCAAATCCACCTGTACCCCAGGCTGCATCCCCAACCAACCAATTCTGAGTCTCGGGTGGTTCCTAAGCAGCGGGTTGTTTGGGTCTGGGTTGCCCGCTTGTTTTTAAGCTTCTCGGGTGATTTTCTGCACAGCCCAGCTTGAGAGCCAGGTGGTTTCCCATGGTGGCTCCTCTTAAACATTTAGGGTCAAATTAAATGTCACCTCCTCAGAAAAAGTATGATTACATGACTTTTAAAACTATTTTGTTTAACTGAGTTAAAAAAAAGAAACGTTTAAGCAAAAGATGAGTACAAAATGAAATTGTAAATATTAAGATGCTAAGTACGTGGTGGCAGACGTTGAAAAGGCAGCACAGTGATTTCAGGGACAAAATTTAAATTTCAGTTTGCTCACCTGCTACCTGTGGTGTTGCACCAGTTCCCTAACTTCTCGGAGCCTCTATGAAAAGTGGATAATGGTACCTGCCTTATAGAGTTGTTTTTAAATGGTTTTATTGATTTCAGAGAGAGGAAGGGAGAGAAACTTCAATGATGAGAGTCAGTGATCAGCTGCCTCCTGCACGCCCCCTGCTGGGGATCGAGCCCCAAACCCTGGCTTGTGCCATAACCGGAAATTGAACCTCGACCCCCTGGTTCATAGGTCAATGCTCAACCGCTGAGCCACCTGGGCCAAACCCTTAGAGAGCTTTTTAAAGGAATAATGAGACCACAGATGGCACATAATGGACACCAGGTAAGTAGTATTAGCTACTGTTAATTAACAAACGACTTTTAAAGCAGCAAGTGCTTCGTGAATTCAAAGTAAATAAAAAAGTCAGGGGTCGGGGGACCAGAGAGTTTCTCCGGGTAGCTAGGACTTGGGCAAGCAGAGGACGATGAGAGCTGCGTGCGGCAGCCCAGGATCCAGGGAAGGGGAAGGAGAAACGTTAGAGGTACAGTTTTCAGTGTGTTTGGGGAAGAGGGAGTTAAACAGGAGGAAGAGCTTGCCCGACAGACAGCGCAGCGCTGTGTCAGGATGGGCGAGCCTTCTGGTTTCTGTCATACGGCATCTTTTTGGCACTGGCGTTTCCCTGATTAAATTGTATAGAAGAGTAAGCCTCTGATTGGAAGCAGATTCATCAGGCGGAGAGGTGGGGGGGTGGCTAGGAGATGGGCTTTGGAAGGCTATTCTCTTCAGCAGAAACTTGTGTGATCTCTTGGAGACTGACTCTGGGCCACGAGTTGGCCGACCTCAAAGAAGCGAGCTTGTAAGGTTTCCTGGCAACAGACCACAAACCAGGTCCTGGTGGCAGCACTTGGTGCTCCCGTTGGGGAAACCCTGCAGGGAGCCCAGCTCTCTGTGTGACTCAGGGTCCTGGTGGGACCAAGTTGGGCAATTGAGAAACAAACGCCCAGTGAAGGGGCTGCCACCAAGGGCCGGCAGGGTTACGGGGAAGCAACAGGGATGAGCGTGGGGAAGGCGAGAGCTGCAGGACTCCTGGCAGGGGCTGGCGGACAGCAGTGTCCTGCAGAGGAACACAGCCAACTGCCACTCTATGGTCCAGCGGGAGTGGGCTGGGGAATAAATCCCGCCACCCTTCTCCTCTGTGTGCCCTCCTGCAGGTGACTTCCCGGTGGCCAAGTCCAAGCCAGAAGCCAGAGGGCAAGGTCTTTACGTGCAGTTCCTACAGGTCAGCCAGGGCGCAGGGTGGATCTGGACTGTCCAGCACAGCGAACAGTCTCACACAGAAGGGCTGATTTCCAGGGGGTCCCCGCCATGCCTCCCTCTCCGTCCCGCAACCAGCCTTTTAGGCATTTCTGTAAAAATAGCAAATGTATTAAAATACAAAGTTAAACAAATACATTCTTTCAATTGTAGGAGAGATATAGTCAGAATCCAGAATAACTTAAACAGTTTGTCTTAATACATGATACCTAAGCCCCTCAAATATTAACAGGCTTTCTGGAATCCATGCTGAAAATTAACTCCCTGTAATGAATGATTCGGTTCGTCTTCCCGGCTCAATTGCTAATACATACAATAAAATTTCTTAACAAAATATAATTCAGAGGCACCATCCGACCTGACATCTCAAATTCTAATATGTTATGGCTTTTAATATGAACACCAGTATAACCAGAATTTAAACAAATTATGGCAAATAAATGAAAACATTTAGATTTTAACATCTATAGACTTTATTAGGTGTTCCTTATGCAGCCATCTGGTATGTTTAAAGAGTGAACAACTGTATAAAAGGAAATATGGTCATAACTGATTGAAGTAATAAAATCCTGAAACTAAGTAACATCTCATAATTCATTGCACAGCATATATTAGATTTCATTACATCAGTGTATAGCTTAGTAGTAAATTCTCCTGATGGCCATAAACCTCTAAGGTGTTGTCATCCTGAAAAATGAAGGGGAGGGACTCCGTGAGGGCACAGAACCCATAAATCTTCACGTGCCTGTGGCGCACCTTTAAGGCGCAAAGTTGTCGCGCATCACCACCTAGTGGCAGAACTGAGTACTTATTCTAATAAAGGGGCCTTTCCCCTGTATCGTCTGGTTATGTCTCATTCACCGTTTAACTGGGTTCGCATCTGATATTGTTGTTCCTGAAATTTATATAAATGCATTTGCATGTCACCCACCAGGCTCTCAAGTACTTGGTTAGTATAGTTTCCACGTTCACCCAGCATTTAAATTCTAAATTCTTTGGTTCTTTTCAAAGCCATACACAGGTCTACGCTACCACCACCGTTTATGAATATAGGACCACTACGGCTACAGTAGCCCTAGGTTTTGGCCCAGTTTTTGTTATTACTGAATCTTTTAGCAAGTCTGAAAAGTGCTTACTGTGTTCCAGGAACCGTGCTTGACATATAACGAAGCCAGTTAATTTTCAAAACTACCCTGTGAAGTAGGTTCTACCATTAGCCCCATTTCAGAGCTGAGGAAACTGAGGCACAAAGTTAAATCATACTGTTAAAGTTACCCAGTAAGTGCATGGATTAGATGTGGGCAGTGTCACCTGGAGTTAATGGGCGTCAATCACCATTATTCTGTCTCTGGGGTGGGGAGCCACATAGGTCCTGTGAATAAGCATGACATCTGAGGTCTGAAAGAAACTGGAGCACTGAAACACTGGGCGGTGGTTGTCCAGAATTTTTCTCAGTTGCCTAGTTAGGTTTAACAGGGAAGCATCCTGACAAAAATATTTACTCATCCACTGACCCTTATGCAAAAGCCCCTCACTAATGTCCCTTAACAGTGGCACCGACCACTTTTATCAGTTTCCCTGTAATCTGCAACTGTTCCAAACATAAAATTCAAATGTACTGCAAAGTCAAATCACAAATCTTAAAAAATATTAAGCATGTTAAAGGACTGCTTTTACCATAACCAAAACCTTTTTATCAAATGAGGGTCTAGGCAACTCGGATCAAACAAAAGAAAAATTGACATGGTTTAGAATAGGTGTTTCAGAAAGTAATCGGAGTATCAAAGAGAAGGGAGGCTCCTGCTAAATTTGATGAATCTAGCATTTTAGCATATTTTTAAGACATTATGTTCATGTTGCAAAAGTCAAACATAAATAAGTCAACATATCTCATTTTGTGAAAAAATGCATACCAATTGTACACATACTGTTGTTTTAGGAATTTTAACTCTGACACAAAACGTTTTTCACTGGGTTGTTGTGTTCTTTGAGGGAAGATCCTACCACACACAGCAGGGGCTGGCAGGCATCGTGTAGGCCACAGGTTCCCCAGTTCCTCCCCCATCTGCTGTGCTTCCAGGCTCTCGCTCCCACCCAAGAAAACACTTTTGAATTTAGGGGTGGGAATGAGGATATCATTGAATAGTTTTAATTTGTATTTTTAAAAATTACCCTATCACCTTAAAACTTTTAATTATTATTAGTATCCAATCCTTATAACATACTTTCTATCACTTCCAAAGTAGAAGTCACTGGGATATGAGGAGAAGATATAATTTGTCTTTATATTTTTGTCTATTATTCTAATGTCTTTTCGTTTTCTAATACATAGGAACACGTGTATATCACTTGTACAGACCCATACTGGGGCTGTGTACATCATTTTAAGAGATGCAAACTCAATTAAATCTTGAGAACAGAGGTTGAAGCGGTTCCAATCCTGCCGTACCAGGGGGTGAAGACTCTCCTCTCACTCACTAACTTTTGAAGTCTGAGAGCCCGTCTGCTCAAGTGCTGTTTGCTTCAGATAAAATGAGGTGACACACTCAGTTCTTGCTCCCTTCTTTCCTGCAAGTTAGGCCCTAACGGGGCTACCGGGTACCTTGCTAATCTACAGAGCCAGTATCAGGCGGCTGTTCTACTTGGAAGAACATTCTACCCCTCAGTAAATCAAGACGTTCTCCAACCAGTGAAGGAAACTGGACAAAACGTCTTCTCAGCCCCGGGAGGGTGGCTCAGTTGGGTGGAGCACTGTCCCATGCACCACGTAGGTTGCAGGGTTTGGTTCTTGGTCGGGGATCAACGGAGGCAATCAATCGATGTTTCTTTCTCACACTGATGGCTCTCTCTTAACTCAATAAACATATCCTCAAGCGAGGAATGAAAAAACAAATTTTTTTAAATGGCTTCTCTAAGCTTCAGGAGGCCGTTAAACACTAATTGAAAAATACCCTGTAAGTCTGGAAGGAATTTAACAGATAAGTAAACTCAGTAGTTATGAAGACTAAGCTTTGGAATTAAAACTCCAACCACAGTTATAATAGACATTTATTTAAAGTAATACATTTGAAACCCAGATGGTTTAAATTGTACGTTTCAGGTTTAAGCAACGGGATAAAATACTGAGGACAGCTGAACCCACAGGCTGCAAGTGCGTGGTTACTTCTTTGTCCACTCTTCCCTTTCTTTTCTTTCCCGAATAACCTCTTTCAGATACGGTTCCAGGTAGAATTTGTCCTAAAGGACAGATAAGAGAAAAATATCATACGATGCCATCACGTACTGGTTACTCCAAACACTCAGCAGGTCTTACACGACAAAAGAGTCATCAAAATTCATTTCCAACTTAAGAAAAAAATATTCTGGGACTAAGAACTATCTGCTTTTCTAAGATGTAAAACCCACGAAGATACTTGCTTTGATGAGATGTGAATGGAAAGTCTGACAGAAAAGAGAAAAAATGAGAGTCTGTAAGCTGCTGCATAGTTACAATGCACTTTAGGGGGCAAGGGTTTGCTTGAGAGTCCTTCCTGGGAGCTGGGAGCCCCTCCATGGGCTGATCACACGAACAGCACTTTCTCCTCTGCACAGGAGGCAGAGTGCAGAAGGCAGGCCTGGCAGGCAAGACACCTGGATCTGTATCAGAGACCCAGTGATTCCGGCAGTCGCTTCACCTTTACGTCTCAACACCCGTTTCTAAAACAAGTTAACATTTGCTCTATGAACCTCACTGTACTGTCATATTTATTTGTCACAACGTAAAGAACTCTAAAGCACTACGCAAATGACTGTTTCTCTGTTTGTAACACTCAATCCTTAGTGGCCCATATTGTCAGACACACAGACGCTGTTCTACCTCCTCATATTTTGTCCACTGCTCTTTTGGCAAGATCTGCTGCCTCATGGACAGGTCCAGTGCTCTCTTGATGCGAAACACTCTGTCGTTATACAGGTTCTCAGGAAGCCTTCTTATGGCTTCTCTTACATCGTCATTCACATATATTGTGTCGTCCCGCATCAACCCTATTACAGGAAACAAGAGAGTTAGATGGAATATGTATCTTGAAAATCAGGAATTTTAAAAAAATGAGTAAAATATCTTTACGACTTATAAACTTAAGACTTTAGGTGAAATATCAGGAGTTAGGTATGATGCTCAATGTATTCCACACACAATAATGGGTTATTTAATGGATTATTTCTAAAATGGTACTGTGGAAACAATACATGAGCCTTTTAAAATTCACTGCCACAAAATTCACATTTTATCTAAAACAAATTTTAAAATGTCTACCTTGTTTTAAAACACAAATCAAATTTGAAAAATCGCTACTTCTAAAGTTCATACAACTTAAATTTTAAATGCTAAGCAGAGGAGTTGGGAGAGGGGGCACACACTAAGGAAAATGTCCAGGTGCTGTATTTCAAGGACATAAATTATTTCCACCTCAAACACTTTAGACAATTCCATCCCTCCCTCCTCTCAAAATAATAAAAAGTGGCCCAATCGGGCGTGGCTCAGCAGTTGAGCATCAACCTAGGATCCAGGTGATCGGGGTTCAATTCCTGGTCAGGGCACATGCCCGGGTTGCGGGCTCAATCCCCAGTCAGGGGCGTGCATGAGGCAGCTGATCAATGACTCTCTCATCATTGATGTTTCTCTTTCTCTCTCTTCCTCTCTTTTCCTCTCTCTGAAATCAATAAAGATATATTTTAAAATAATAATAATAAAAAGTGGAGGTGATTTTTAACATAACAATTAAATGTGACTTAATTTTAATGTCTTCTAATGTACACAAGCACAATTAGTTAACTTTTCTGGACCCATATTGACTTTTGCAAAAGTACTACTCCCAGAAAAAACAAACAAACAAAAACAAAAAAGAAAACAGCCCAGGTACTCACCCAGCTTGTTGAATCCTGCAGCATTGTAGTACCACTTTCGAATACCCTCTAGCCACCGGCCTGATGCTGCAACTGATATTGACACACTGTTAGTTGCTACAATTCACTTGTCTATATGAAAACTTGATAGGCAAGCAACCACTACTCTGAATGCAAACATATGAAGACATTTCCTTTTAAAAGCGTACACTCTACATACTGTAGATAAAAATTGCTTATTTTATCTATGAGCAAAAGGGACTGCAGGTAAAAAAAACTGGGCAAGTCATGGAAAAAAAGAGTAAACTCAAAACACCTAATGCACAAAAGACTTATGAGTACAATTATTGCCACTCTAGGCTCGTCAAGTAGAGCATGCCAGCCCTTTACGTCCCCCTGCAACTACCAGAATAAAAGGGGGAGGGGATGGGAAAGGAAATAATAACGTCTCCTTTATTTGTAGTTTCAGAAATACATTTCAGGTGATAAGTGTGAACTTTTCTTTTAAAGGGTGTTGGGGTTGTACGAAAAGGGGGTGAGATTTCAGGACAGGGTGGCAGGTCTCAACGACCCTCATCCTCCAAAATTTTTATTCTACATTACCAAAAGATTCCCATTTTCCACCTCCCAAGTAGCTGACTTTCACCAAGGGAATATCGACACTTGAAAACAGGTGAGGAGAAACAGGTAATGTTAAAACTCCTTGGGGAATAACCCAGTAGCTGTTGCTAAGGGCAACACGACAGTGCCTGATGCTCACAGGAGAAATGTGGCACAGAAGGCGAGGTAGAGCAAGGCTAAAATTTCTTTTCAAACTTTGTCTAGGGCTAGCCCCTTACCAAGGAAGGAAAGCAAACTCCTACTCCAAGCCCTCCTCGCCCCTCTCCTTAGTAGGACAAGGCTTTGGTAAATCTCCGAAATTAAGCACCATGGATAACACTGCTTCTGGGAACACAAGTACCAAAGAGGCGACAGTCGACAAGCTTACTTGTAGAAAGCCGATTATTTATAAGTATATTAACCAGCGATGGTGAGACTGATCAACACTCTTTGAACAGTTATTGTGTGCCCAGCACCGCCCTACTTGCTTGGCCCGGATTAACTAGGTTTGCTTACAAGTACCCCTGTCCTTGCAAAAGAGGAATCACAGAGGTCACCCCGTTCAGGACGGAAGCCAGCTGGTGCCAGAGTTGAGGCCAGGTCTGCCTGGCTCCACCCACCGCACAGGGGCACAGTGCCTCCAACATCTGCCGCGTTAAACTGAACAGTGAATTCTCAAGTGCCCCCCCCACCCCCAGGGCGCTCGGTGTCACTCAGGTTCAGGGGTTTTTCTGGCAAGTGGACGCTCCCCCAAGAGCTTCGCCGTCGCCGAGCGCAGGGAGGAAGGGCCCGGTCCTTTCTGAAACAGCGACGCCCGTCTACCCCGCCAGGGGGCAGAGGCGAGCAACCGCCGCCGGGGAAGGTGACGCTGAACCTGACGGTCACGTTCGGCGTTAGCTGTCCCGGTACCGTCTGCACTCTACGCGGTGACAACTGTTTGTTCCGGAGCCTACAGTACGTACAGGCTCCTCCAAGTCCGCAGGCAGAGCGGCGCGCCCGACGAGGGGCGCGGGAGGCTCCCCTGCGCCCTCGGCCCCGCGACCTCTAGTCCCC